TGGAGATTTCCTTTATGGGTTCATTTCCAAAACTCTCCTACAGGTTCATTAAAAAACGGTGGTCTTCTTCTTAGTCTTTCAACTACTATGTTTACGTGACTACATGTTAAGGTTTTTATTGGCTATTTCCTCCGAAAATTAGATTTACAAGACTCCAAGCGGGTTCTAGCTCGTCAAAAAGAAAATATCCGTTCTCGTGGACAACAACTTCTCTCAAAGACTTAAACTCACTTCTGGTATATAAAAGCTATTCGTGTGTCAATAAACACGCCCTTTGATAAGATAAACAGTATTCGGTTTCATGCTCGGTTCTAATTAAAAAGTAACATAAATGTTCGCAGTGTTGAGTTCTTAAGGTTTGCAAGGGTCCATTCTTAAGGCTCGCAAGGTTCAGTTCTTAAGGTTCACAAGGTTCAATTCTTAAGGTTCGCATGGATCCATTCTTAAGGTTCGCAAGGTTCAGTTCTTAACGTTCGTAAGATTCACTTTTTAAGGTTCGCAAGGTTCAGTTCTTAAGGTTCGCAAGATTCAATTCTTATGGTTCGCGGGGATCCATACTTGAGGTTCGCAAGGTTCAGTTCTTAAGTTTCGCAAGGTTCAGTTCTGAGATTCGTGTTCCGTTTCTTCACACTACACAGCTCCTTCAAACGATTGATCTTGTCCTAAAATTTTACGACGATTGCTTGGCAGGTCGTTTTAGCCAAGAATGATCCAGGTACACGAATTCCATTTTCCAATCTTCTTGATCCTTTCCAAACAAACATCAAAGCTTTGTTTCGCACATTCCAGAAATGAAAATTTTCCCAGATCAAGTTGAAGGAAAAAAAAAATTACGTCAAAAGCTATCTTTGTGACTGAGCTCCGAGTCGGACGACCCGGGTTCTAGTCCTAGCCGGGGCAAGGCGTTGTGCTTAAGACGTGCGGGAAAAAAAAATGCGAGCTCCGCTTTTAGGCTTGGCTAAATCTATATATTAGTGAAGTATCTGTTTTTCCTCTCGATCATGAAAAGTTTATATTTTTCCCCTACAAGCTCAGACAAACATAATGTACATGCTACTTTCTTTATCAAGAACCGAAACGCAGCCAGCTATTTAACGAGGTCTGATTAATAAGTCGCATTATATTATCTGGTTTTAATGGTTTTTATTTATTCATTTTTTTATTATAATATCACTCAGTATTGCTAAAACTAAAAATCGCTCCTTATTCTGGAGACAAACCTCTTGTCAAATGAAAAGAGAACCAGGCACGTCATTAGCAGAACAATTATCTCACGTCTCATATCAATGCTCTTCTGCAAGAAAAAACAAACCAGTTATGGAATAGTCATTATTTATCCCCCTTGGGGGGTGGGGGAGCATGCGAGAAACTCTGTTGGAGACGACTGATCTCCCCCCCTTCGTCCTGAAAACCATGCGATCCCTCCACCCTTCCCTTGGCAATAGCTATTTTCTAATCCCCTGGGGAGTGGTTTTTTTTAATCTTCTCATGCTTCTTGTAACACCTCTTGCATTGGGGAGGTTAATTGAAGAAAATGCTGCTTTTTTCACCAAAGCAAAGAATATGATACCACTCCCTCCCCCTCCAGCTGAGTTTAAAAGTTAATGCATTGTTTTACACGCGATCCAACTCCAGCACGCAAGGTTGGAGACGGATACAAAACCTCGCGCGCAAGAAAGTCTCGCGTGTCTGCTCCGCTGTGCGCGGGTTTCTTGGTCTTATCGATTTGCTCCTACGTGACCTATTGTGCTTCTCGTCTCAGAAGAAAAATGAATAAAGACCAAAACGATAATCATTAGCGATTTTATTTGAGGTACATCTATCATTAGGACCTTGAACTCACACAAGCAAACAACGTGCATTTGGGTATAGTCAAGAATGCATCCCTCCGATACTTATCGATTAGAATCACGCAAGACTAATCAAAATTCGTGCACCAATTCGGAACAGGTAGCAATGTCGTTTGCGAGGCTTCAACGACATATCTAACCTCTGAAATGCACTCAACTTATGCATGGACGTGAGAAAAAAAGGATTGTTAGCTTTTTTTTCTCAGCTTGTTCACCTCAACTGAGAGTTAGAAGCTTCCAACAACACTAAATACGATTAATCCGACCAATCAGCACACACTTAACAGCATGAATGACCAATTAGAATTCAAAGTGAATGCATGTAACATCTCGTGGTTTAATGCAATCGGAGAAAATATCATTGTACACAACCAGTGGGTCATTAGATCTCAGTGGATTTTGTCATGAAATATTTAATCTAAATCAGAAACGACGTTACGACTGGTCGATCAATAAAGAATGTTTGAATAGCTTTTGGGTATTGATCTTCGGTTTTTCAGTTGGCAGACTTTCCAATGGTTGAAACTCCCAAATCTTGTCGTCTGAAAAATAAATCTGTAAAAGATAAATACGTGTAGATGGAAATCGAATTAAGGTTTATCAGAAAAAGAGGTCGTCACTTGGGGAGTATTTTGTTTACAACTTTAACTTCTGTAAAGCGATGTCCTGAGGTAGGAGTTACTTGCTATAATTGTAATACAATGCCTTTATATCATTTGAAAATTTCAAAAATAATAAAATAGAACACAATTCCTCATGTAATACTGTGAATTTATCACAACTACACTATTTCATATCGTATAATGCATCGAAACCTATCTGTATGTTCGAGTTAGATTCTTTTTTGCAGCATTTAACTCGGGGGGGGGGGTGGGGTCTCCTTGGGGTACTAGACATTTAAGAATGGGAGAGACTATTGGCGGTAATAGATGGTAAGGGGTCACATGACACGGCGGTGAATTTTTAAAAAGTAGTGTAACCTACGAGCAGGCCGTCATTATTAATGCTTCAGTTCGAGCGTTTTTTTCGCCCGCTGGGGTGTATAAGGGGCCTTAAGCAACGGCGAGAGGTCTGCAAGGGGCATGAGGCCCAGCGCTGATAACACCAGATCACCAGTAAAGCTCTCCATGACTAGTAAGAACCTTCCCGTAAGCTAAATGGAGTGCGCCCTTCTGCTAAAATGAAAGTCACCAAAGATGTTGGTCTAAACTTGCACAAAACACACCCAGCGATGTGTAAATATCAGGTTTCCTGTGGTTTGTGGACACACAGAAGTTATTGCACAGGCTGAGTCGTTTCATCCAAGAGGAAAATATCTCCGGTGGTTCGCAAAGCGATAGTACTTTTACACAGCATTTCAAATCGGCAACCCTAAATCTTTAGATTCACCTCTGTCCCGCATGCAGCCGTATATATTCGTGCGAAATCGTTCATCGTACGTGAAGCGACGATATCTAATTGGTAAGAGCAGACATACCCCACTGTGTGCGTATTGCGGTGAGCAGACGGTTACATAAGCAAGAGATATTTTATCAAAAGCACTGAGAAAATTGCTCTGTGTATTTCGTGTAAATGAAAAGAAGAAAAAGAATTTGAGAGCATAATTAACTGATAAAACTGAAAACCTCCAATGATAGGCGGTCATCACGTTGCTTTTAAGAAAGTTTGTTTCCAACTCGTAACAGACACCGTTCATGCTACGTGCTCGAAATCACTCGCCGAGTGAAAATGAATATAGCTTTTCCACCACGCTTGGATCCCAGCCATTTATCAGAGGCCGTTGTTAGAATAATCCTCTAGCCCCAATAACTTATTTGTAATTGTTAATGGGTTAATAGAGTTAAGTGTTGTATCGAGATAACTTCCTCTCGCTGATAAATGCATATATCCTCATTACCATTTTGTTGAAGATTTTTACTCATATTGTGGGGAGAAGTTACATGTTAAACAGTGCCGAATGACAATTATCGAGAGGGGGTTGGGACGCACTTCCAAAACTGTTGATGGGTGAGGAGGTATCGCAGCTTATATAACTGAAAGCTGACGTAGAAATTTTGTACCGTAACTGGAAAATTTTTACATCTTTTTTTCTCTTTTATAGCCTCTGGGCGTAACTTAGGTCGGCATATCGTCTGTTGGGGATCATGAAGTCGATGAACAAAGCCGACAGATCAGATTAATTTTATTAGTGACTTTTAATTTTCTGTCTTTATCCTCACTGTAGCTTATTACAGCGGTTTTTTTCAAAATTCACCGATAAAAAATTATTTTCTTCGTTACCTGACTTTAAAGCCATCTTTGCAGGGAAACAATAAATATATCACAATAATTCTCTATATTTGGTAAATCAGCGTCATTTCGTGTACCCTGCGATGCAATAATCCGCGCAGGAAAAGTTCTTATCACGAAACAGAGCCAAAACGTTTTGCAAAACTTACGTGGGGATAAGACCTACCGCAATGAATACTGCGATGAGGGAAATAGGCAAAATGAAAAAAACAAAAACAAAAAAACACGACCACGGACGATTTAGCGAGCAGTTTGTCCGAGTTACAGATAAAAACAACATGCTAATTGTAGGCCAATCCAAGGGAATGAATTACTAACGTTACTCCAGCGAAACAAAACCATATACGGGTATGAGAGACCCGTCCCTGGACATGAAAATTTCCACTCTGCTCCCTCTTGTTCTTCTCTCCTCTCAGTCAGATCCAGTCCAAAGTTCAAAAGGGTACGACAGTCGGACGGAAGTCATTTTCTGCCCCGTGGAAATTTCAGGGTAACAGTTTACGCAGAAAAGTTCTCTTACAATACTGGGTTTCTTGTCCGCCTTCTCTGCGAAAACTATCACTCGAGATTTCGTGTTAAACGTTTTGACATGGTTCTTCGAAGGATTTTAGCTTTAAACAGGACAAGATACATCAACCTTGTGACCCGAATGATTCCCTTATTTGAGCAGGGCTGGGCTAAATTTAGCACGTACACGAGAACACGTCAATCAACGAGACGTGATCTGCCTGACGCGCGAAGTGGATCAGTCTCGCCTAAATTAAGAGCATTTCGCATTCACTCACATATCAAGCTGACAGCGATTCACTCCAACAAGACCGGGAGTTCCTTGATTTTAAAAATTGCTTGAGAAAAATACTGGTTCTAGATATAAAGATGGATACGGAGTGCGAATGCCAGCGAGTAGCAACACAAACAACACCGGTTCGACGAATTCCGACATTAGACGTTGATTTGCGTGTTCGCCGATTTCATCGGGATGATACGCGGCGAATTCACAATCTTTTCTTGGAAGAAACGAGGTGTTTGGTATGGCCGATGTTTGCGCAAGCCATTCGAAGTCCTCCAGCAGTTATTTTGCATCTTTTGTTCATGGCTGTTGGGGCAATGCTGGCTAGGTCCTTTGTTATTGCTTTGTTTGGAGTCATCCTGACCGCGGCTGCTATTTTTGTGTACACTTACCGCTGGTTTTATCAATACTTGACTAGTTCATTGAAAGGGGACTTGGCAAACATTTCTCAGGTGAGATTTTCCGTGAGTTAATTACAGTATCGATGGTTAAGGGATAAATAGCTATATTTTCAAAGCTACACGGACATCTTGAAGTACCGCACCGCAAATAATTGGTGCCAGTCGCTATAAGGACTTCTGGTCGCACAAGGGCCCTTCAACTGTATAGGCTAACTTCCTTCTATGCCTCGCCCAAATCTCTTTGTAGTCGTAGAAAAAAAAATTAAATTAGTAGTATTTCTGCCATTAAACTTTGTATTGAAATAACTTGCTAAAAATAAAAAAATTGACACGAACAGGGGAGGGTAGCCGCGGCGTTTTCAGTTAATGTTTTCTTAGGGAACATTGTATCAGACGAACTTTGGTTCTCTGGAGAACCCGTTTTCATAACAGTTTGACTCTAAGGTGAACGAAATTTTGTAGATGTTAACTAGTTCTACAGACTGTGAACAGAATGACAATGTACATATTGTAATTGGTTCTTAGATATAAACTTTTGATTATGTAACAATGCAGAAATCTCTTAAGGCCATAAAAAACACGAATGGAACTTTTAATTTTTAGACACATTAACGAACCTCTCCAAACTACGTCATCATTTTCCAATTGTGAAGCTGGGAGAGAAAGTTAGCTTTATATTCGACTGGCCATCGCTCGCTGATGTTCGAAAACAAAAGCGTTTTAATGCGTTTAGAAGGGAAGGTAATACGGTATTTCATTCTTGTCTAGACCGCGCATTCCGAAAATGTTTTCTTTGCGTGAGGCTGTTTTTTAAAGGAAAGATGTTTCCAATTTTAGATAGTTCAATGCTTTTCTTTAGTTCAGCTGTCAAGAAATTGGAGAGCGACCAGTTCAGTTGAAAATACGGAACTCTCAAAACTTTCCGATCAAAAAAATGAGAGGGAAGTCGAAATTGGCGTGTTATCGTGTCCATTTGCCATCATTTAGTATTTGGATTTCCGTTTCCTTTACATGCGCATCCCGCGCACATGACGTCGGATTACTTTACAGAAAAGGCGAGAACATTCTATCTTGTCCGCATTGTAAAGATGGTTAGAATTATTTGTAAAAGCTGCAACTTACTAACTGGCAAAATTGAAAATTTCAGCGGTAGATATTTAAACACGTGCAGAATTATTCACGTAAAAAAAAAGATTATCTTCCGCGTTGCAAAACTCATGCGCATCGTCTTGTAATGAAGAGCGCGCTTCTCTACCGTGAAGAAATGGCCGACGAACATTGTATCGCTGTACAATATATCAATTTTCCATTTCAAATCAATCCAACATTTGTCACGCGTGCTAAATGATTCACGTGTCCGATGCGTCGGTGAAAAAAAAAAGCGTTTGAATCTTTGTTTATTTCAAGGAAACTCGTGGATTGATCAAAACCTTTGGGAAAAAACGTGACGAACTAAATATAGATGAACTCACAAGAACTTGGTTCATTTCATCAATATTTACAGGAACAAAGTAGTGACTTCTCCATAAAGACAGAGTGATGGCTAGGAAAGCAAAGCTCTGTATTATCTCCGAAGATGTATGTTGGATGTAGTTTGCTATGATTTCGAGCACACCAGCGGCGATAGTATGTATACAATGCTTGAAAAAACGTGCTCATCTGAAAATAATCCCTCATAATTGACCTTTGAAAACAGCTTGATTTTATATGATGTAAAGGAGTGAAGACTACATGATCACTCTTTGATCTGTGTCACGTATGATTGTCGATGTTGGTGTACTATAGTGTGCGGCCTCCTTAAAAATTACTGCTTAACCGCTTTCCGATAAGAATGGTTACCGTACACGTAATATTGGACGTAGGTTTTTTTTTCTGTTTAACAAATTTCAAATATTGTTGTTTCCACCTGTAACACGCCATCTAACTTAATTCATTAGCTCAGCTTTAAAGAATGTTGTGCGGTTTCTAATCTGTCAACTTACATCTGTTTATTTTATCGATTGCAGTATTACCTTTGCAAGGCAAAGTGTAATTTTTTGGTGGCGGAGTTCGACAGCTCGATCATTGGATTTATTGCAATCGATCAACAATCTGAAACAATAGCCTCGGTAAGAAGAATGTCTGTCGACACTTGTTTCCTAGGTAGAAGAAAATTCATCGCTACAAGACTTTTCCAAGAGGCGTTCAAATTCTGCCAGGAATGTGGGTACTCAGAGATGGTCGTGGAATTTCCTGGAACTCAAAAAACAAAGAGCTATGGATTACGTCGGTGCGACACATAACCGACAAGTCAAGACATCTCTGTTCCGCGAGAGGGTTGAATTTCACGCTCGGCCCAGGCTCCCTGACAAACACCTCCGTACCTTTTCTTCTCATCATCACGTGACGTCATAGCGTCAGTATTTGGATTAACCGGAAGTGGCTAGTTTTTATGACATCATCCGCTTGAGGCCAAGGGGAAGTCTGCACGAAAGGTCACCCTACCTTTTATGATGCTGGAGTCAATCGTTTATTTCAACGAATATCTGTGAGCAGAACTACAAAGACAGTCGTGGATATATACATTTATACATCTGTATCCCACAAGGTCAGTTGTTTACCAGTTCATAACCTAATCAAACAGCTCAAGATCTTGAAAGTTACTCCAATCAGTGCGTATCTCAACCCAATCCACAGCCCTATCGGCCATAACCTCCTACATGGATGTCAGTGCTGCCCATTGGACAATCTTTGTCAGGCAGTTGTCTCCCAAACAAAGGGAACTTCGTCGAAGCGCATTGGCTGAGGAACAATGCTATAAATGTGAAAACTAAATGGAAGAGGAAAAAACATTTCAAGCAAATCTCAGCCGAACTCTATCAAACTTGACATTCTTTAAATTTAGCTCTTTGACCTCTGACTAGCATCTAATTTCTCCTTACAAGTCACCCCCGAATCACACATTGAAGTCATGAGAATAAAGGAAATGATCACCGAGAAAAGAAAGCTCTTGATTGTTAAACGAAATTCTCCTTATCAGCACCTTAGGAAATGTCTAGAGAACAGTATGGAGAATATGCATACTGACGTTAGGGTTTTAAGGCTTACAAAGAACGATCAAATAGTTGACTGTAGTTCAGATGAATTAAAATTAGAGTTTAATATCCGTAGTTGACCTAACGGTGTAAATTAAATGTAAAAAATTCATTTCTTCCTTTATTCAGATCTATAAAGGCAAACTCTATAAGTAAGGACATAGATTATTACTAAAATAATAGACACAAAACTGACAAGACGGGAAACGATAGAGGATAACCTCTTAAAAAAATATTACCTATCAAGAAATGATATAGGTGTGTACAAGGAAAAACGTAATACAAAATAAAAGTATGAAAATCCTCTTTTGAACGCAAGACAGTTTGGATTGAAATTTACATAACAACTGCCACCTTAATCTCTTACCCAGATACTACCGTGTATTTTTTAGGTATGCTTTACAAAACAGAGAAAAAGAAAACAAAGTCCAAATTTCATATATATTTTGATGAGGCTTGATATCCTCTTGATCCTGGGTTACACTCTTGCTATGATAAAACACAGCTAATTACTGTGCTTCATTCCAGACTAGAACTGATGAAAAATATGGTAGATTGAACCTTGAAAATATTTAATCCTAAAGATCAAGCAAGTCATCACTCTGGTAGTGTTCCCCTCAGAAAAAAAAACTCAAAATATGCTGATTTTGCTAGCAGCGCTGCTTTTATAAAAAGTGCAACAATTATCTCCATTTTTCCATAATACGCCAAAAATTAAGCACTATCATTAAGGGCCTCGTGCCGACTGCCACGCTAAGAAAAAGGGAGCAGCTTTTGTCCAGGGTTTCTCTCAGGACGAAAAACGTATGGTGGAATTCAACGTAGTGATGTTCCATCTACATGTCAATACTACCCTTCTTAAAATCCAATTAGAGAAACAGTTAATTCCCTCCAAGCATACTTAACGTAGTCAGACTCTGAACACAGCAGTCAAATGAATGCACACCATCGCCCAGAATTCTATTGTCTTTCGCGACATGTACTTGCAGTGCCCATTTAATCAGCGGGCAGCATAATAATTTGCATATCCTGAACTAGTCGGTTGTGATTGGTCAGCAGGTAAAGCTTTGGGAATACATGAGTCTCTGCAGATTTCAGCTGCTGTCAATCAAACAGTTGGATGCGTAAAGTAAATCCCAAGGTGACATAAAGTGAACAATAGCAATAATTAACAATAGCCACGCTCTTAACAAAGCGTTTAGCAAATTCGTTTGCAGCGAATTCTTATATGGACTGACAGACTCCCGTTGGTCAAAATGTTATCGGAATTATAAAAATTAGTATCATGAAAATAGAAAATAGAAAAAAGAAAAATTTAGAAAAAAAGTATCATGAAGAATCTACTTCGTTAAAATCGCTTCAATCGGTAGAGAAAAATATGAGCGATGCTTCCGACAACCGGCTTGTGAGTGCGACGATCGTCGAGATAGAGCTAGAGTCTATCTTGCGACAATAATAGGAGTGTGGTTTCCATATGATAGTAACGATTGCTGAATATTTCTGCAGCGATCTCAGCGATCATATCTTAAAAGCTTTTACAGTTTTTTAAGCATTGTCTAGTTACCACCTCAATTTCAATACTAATTAGGCGGCGTGTGCGCGATTGTTTGCGGAGGCGGAGCTTAACATACCTTGATATTCTCGCGGGAAGTTTAAAATAGGTCACTTGTATTCTCGTGGGGGTCTCCAAAGGACAAATTTGGATAGAACACTACGATGCTTAGCAAACGTTTTCGAAATTCGCGTTTTGCGACTACTTCCAAAGTTTGGAATCCCTTGAAAATTTCTATGACGCTTTCTAGAATGTCAAATAAAAATAACCATATGGTAAAAGAGAAATCTAGCAATTGAGTGAAGATAAATTACGCCTGAAAGTGCGCTGAGATCGACTTCTCATACAAGCAGGATGCTAACATAGTCAATTTTCAAGGCAAATTTGCGACCTCTTCTGAAAGCGCAAGAACAAAGTGAGAATGATACACTATTCAATTGAACTTTCTTCTTTAAAAGCCATATGGTAAAAGTAGCATTTGAAAAGTAGTTTATCCGTAAACGAAGAGAACGTAAGCCTTCCTCGACATTTTCAGCCCTTTTCCTTTATTGTTTGACAATCATTTTCTAATTAGCATTTAAATTTAGCGCCAGTGTCTCAATGAAAGTCCCGGATATGTCGCTGAATTCTGGGCGATGCTGATGTGAACTATGATAGATAATTTGTTACTGCAAACATGAAGAATCAAAGTAACACGTAGTTTTCCGCAGTTTCTAAGGAAAATTCAAAGTTTCGTAGGCCGAGACTTATACACATTGTTGTTCTGGCCTTTACCTACTGAGTTAGTTTACACTCTCGTACTCTTTTTTACACTTTGCACAGCGGCGTGATGAAGTCGCCCGTAAACTTGGCTGTAGTTATTTTTTGTTGTGTTCATGGTGGAGTTGCCGGTAAACACCGAGGGAAATGTTAAAGAAAAGGATGAAGCAGAGCCCCACAACTATTTGTGACGATCACAGGTCTGTGTTTATAGCGGACGGTAGACTGTGTGGCGAGGGTTGAAGAAAGGTTTGTCATTTTCCTTTATCACCGAAACGAAGCGTCCTCGTTAAAAACAGTTGGGATATCTGATAAACAAAATAAAGCCAAGATTTATTTTTTCTTCAAAATCCTTTTTCCATTTGCCTTGCGCATTGGAATCGTTAGGAATTTAATCTTCTTTTCCTTACTTTACGCTAGACGCGCGTTTGGAAATCCCACTTATTGGTTTCAAACTCTCGTGCATGCGCAGTATTTGACCGCTGTGTTCAGACTCTGTGGTAAAACATCGCTGTGTGTATCGGTACCGTAAAATAACAAGGTCTGAGGTTCGAATCTTCCTGGGAAACTCTGACTCTCTCTATTACCCACGCCTTGACAAGAGTTATGAAGTCTTTCGTTAGTTATAAAACAAAAAAAAAAATCAACTTCTCAGCTCGAGCTCTTCTTTTTTGTCTACTAAACCTAATTCCCAGACTCCTCTCTCTTTTGAAAACGCAACCATCCCTGCTCTTCTAGCAGCAAGAGGTTGGTACCAAAAAGCCATCAGGCTTTGCGCGACGCCATATTACCCCCAGCATCGCAAAGCTCTTTCTCTTCTTCCCTCGTGTTCAAAATGAAAATCCGCGGAGAGGTAATAACGAGTTAATTTTGCCGGCTAAGCATCTTGTATGGCGATTAAATTCAACCCCTGACTCTAAGATTAAACTCTATTTATTCTAAAGAATATAAAATTATTTATTTTCAGGCGAAGCAGTTAGTTTTAGAGGTGTACGATCGCTAAAAATTTGAGGGAAATATTATGTCTGTAAATCGCGACACGTTTCAATCCTAATATTTTCTAGCTTCTCTTCCATTTAACTGTTAAGTCCTCGCGGATGATCGAAAATCTTGATTTGAGCTAATCAACTGCTTCAACTTCGTGGAACTAAGTACAGAAGCACTGTGTTCTAGAAACTTTTCAAAATTTTATATCTTCTGTCATTTCTTCTATCTCATCACAGTTAAAGGAATTTGAGATCATCGGCAGGCGCCTGCCATCGGAGAAGAACTCCTCTCCCCCCCTCTATAAAATGAGGATATTTGCTCCTGACGATGTTGTCGCCAAATCTAAATACTGGTACTTTGTTGCCAAATTGAAGAAAATCAAGAAGTCTAATGGCGAGGTTGTGTCCTGCAGAGAGGTATGTGTACTCCTTAACTCTATACTTAGTTGGATGTTCATGTGTGTTACTGCTCTAGCCTTTCCACTCTAAGAAGTCTCTGTTTCAATCAGCAAAAGTGTATATTTTAAATATGATGGTGAGCTGAATTATAAACTTTCTTTGATTGGCTCTTATGATATATTGGTGGACAGATGCACAAGTGATATCAACATTTGCAACTTTTTGCTCCTTTAATATATAAAACAAATATTTTTCATGTTATCATAGGTCTTTTTAGTAATAGATCACAGATAGACATCAAAATGTGGCAAGAACATCACTGACACACTTGGCTGCTTCTTGTTTACCATTTTTTTGTCTTTACCACATTGGGACATAATCTGTGATCTACTATTTACTGAACAGATACACAACAACATGGAATCTACTTGTTAAATGTTTGAATTATACACAGAAATAATTATTTCAGAATATAGGGGGTAAATTTCTGAATAAACTGTGGTGCTGCGTTGGTGGGAGAGTATAACCAATCATAATTTAGTATGATCAACTGTGTTGCTAATGTAAATTGGCCACTGTGAAGAGTTTCAAAGCTGATGTTTTGAGCATTTGACATTTCTGATGTTCCTTCACTCTGATGAAGGCTAATGCTTGAAATGTCAGCTTAGAAACTATTTACCGTGGCCAATTTACGTTAGCAACTCAGTTGATGATACTTAATCTAAGCTTGACATGTCAGCTTAGAAACTGTTTACTGTGGCCAATTTACATTATCAACTGAGTTGATAATACTGAATTACCCTGTTATTTCAGAATTTGTTTTTTGTCCTTACTGAATGACAGTATCATCTTTTAGTATATAGTTTAGCAAAATGGTTGTTATCTCTGTCTATTTCTAACATGAACTCTACTGTTTACCAGTTGCTTAACACTCCCAAAAGTGAATGATTAGTGTTTTCTCCAGACAATATAAATAGATGATCATGTGGAAAGGTGACAAGGGGAAATTATAGTATTATCCAGGAAACATCCTTTGACTTAGAGCAAATTTCTCAAAGCCTTAAAAAAAAAAGAAATGTAAGGCACATATCTAGATTGTTATAGGGTTAATGAATTAATGGAGCAAGTTGCTTAAAAAACAACGGTGCTGCATCAGTGAGGGGTATACAAGGTAATTTGGGTTTTTCAACTGAGTTGGTAATGTAGATTGGCCACAGAAAAGAGTTTATGAGGGTGTGTTTTGCATGTTAGCCCTTCATTACAGTGAATAGAAGAATTAAAGATTGTGTGTGATTTATATACAGAAAGATGGAGTTATACCATTAGATAGTAACATGAAAGCAAAAGTTTAAATTATTTGAATGAAATGCCTTTGTTGATACCGTGGGGACTAAGACTGCTGGTTAGAAAGATGAATTTATTCTAGGGTTTTGTGTCTTTCCGAGCTGCTTAGATGTATGGAAAGCCCACAGACTAGTAAGGGTGTTAATAGGGTTAAGTTTCAGTTGATGAATCATAACTTTGTTCCTTTATTTGAACAGATTTTTGAGAAAAAACCTCTGAGGATCAAGAATTTTGGTGTTTGGCTGCGTTATGACTCCCGTAGTGGAACTCACAACATGTACAGGGAATACCGTGACTTGACAGTGGCTAGTGCAGTTACTTCTTGCTGTGAGTGTGAAATTTGTTGTTGTAAAATCAAATGTTGCAGGGAAATAAAAAGTGGCTGAGGCTGCTGAAATTTAGCTGGAGGATTTTAAGTATCCATTGGACAATTCTTGAATCTCTAACAAGTAATGACCTTTCTCTATCATTACTTTTCTGTAGTGAAAATTTCCAGCTCTATGAAGCTTTCTTGATAAATTACACACTAAGTGAACCTTGATGATGTAAATGTAGATGATGAATTTTAAGCTTGGGGATTATCAAGTGAATGATGATGTTGTTCAGTGACTGACAAAGTATGAATGTCAAAGTATCAATGGGAAGGTTGTAGGTTCAACTCTTATTTGGAGCACTCAGAGTTCTTTTTCTCCAAGTATACATGTACCTGTGTCCTTGGGTGAGTAACATCATCTTTCATGTAAGTTAACTTTTAACATAAAGCTGATTAATTAAGGCAACCTGACTATCAGTAATGCTCCAGCAAATATATTGTGAAACTCATTAAACCATGAACACTTTGATTTGGTTTGAAGAGGTCAATTGTCTACTGAATTATCACTAATAAATTTAGGACACCCATAATAATAACCTTTACTTACTGTAGTAAAATAATACCAAACCTATTTAAATGCAGATCGAGACATGGCTGCCCGTCATCGTGCACGTGGATCAAGCATTCAGATCATGAAAGTTGATGTAATCCCAGCCAGCAAGTGCCGAAGACCACATATGAAGCAGTTGCATGTAAGTGTTTGATTAGATGTCACTAGAAAAAAATAGAGTTGTGTTCTCCAGGAGTACTGGCAGCTGGTGTTTCTGCTTTGATTGTGAAGCACATACCAGGGCGTGAAATTGTGCCTAATACAGGCGCCAATGCGACTAAATTTTTCACTTTGGCGACCAAATCCTGAAAGTTAGTCGCCAAATTGGTGACTAGAACGTTTCATCATAACCTTACCAAGAGATATAGTGAATTAAAAAGATTTGCAAAGATAAATCCGTGGCAAACTTCCTCGTTAAGTTTGTTTCCAAGACATAGCACATGCATCTCGATCGATAACTAGACGCCATCTTGGTTTTAGATGAGCTTTAACGTTGTATATCATCCATCCTATTGTCCACTTTGTAGCATGTTAAAGATCTTTTCCCTAACTTAATTTTGGAGGGTCTATCTAGAATGCTGACAGCGTAAAGAAATATTTTGTTTGTCTTTGAAAATGGCGACCAACTTTTTTTGAATTGGCTACCACTTTGAAAAATTTAGGAGCGAGGGGCTATCAGAAAAAAAAATTAATTTCACGCCCTGCATACTAGTCTTGAGCTGAAATAAATTTTAACTTTTGCGAGTTGGGTTTTTCTTATGGCTTTCTACAAGAAAATATCCAGAGAACACTGAAGTTATTGATATCGTGTCAGAAGAAATTTCTGGTGAGGAGAAATTGTAACAACTAATTTTACCATGGAACTTTGTTGCTCATGTTTTGTGCCTTTACAAGATCTCAGATCAAGCAGGTTTTGTATGGGACATGGAAAATGCAGGAAGTCATATCAGTGTGAATGGAGATTATAAAAGATCATAAAAATGATTATTTTAAAAGCATCAAAGCAAGAAACACTTTGATGGAATGCTTGTGTTGACATCATTATGAAAGCAACAGGTTGATTGCATAGCAAATCAGTCATGAAAACATCAAGAAAGTCTATTCAGAGGTTGTGGAAAGTCAGAAAATTGTTTGAATGTGTTTGTTTGAAATCTGGTTTCTCCTTTATTTGTCTTTTATGTTGCCTCAAGTATTGCTATTTTTTTAAAATTTATATATTATTATTTTTATTCCCCTCTGCTTTTTTTTTCAGAACTCCAAGATCAAGTTTCCTCTGCCTCATCGTATCATCAAGTCTCACTACAAGTCCAAGTTTGTGGCTAAGCGACCCAACACATTCTATTGAAAGCCAGTTGAAAACGATGAAAATCCTGTTGAAACAATGAAAAGTGACACTGGGAAGTTACAATAAAATTGATAGCTATCATACAATACTTGTTTTGTGTGTGTATTTTCTTTGATACTTATGTTTCCCATCTCTTAATACCCTCTACTGTTGCACATTTCTCCCTTTTTTCTCATGGCTGATGCTGCAAATAACCCTTTAACCCTTTACACCTGACATCAGTATCCATTTTCTCCTTACTGTTCTCTATACATTTCCCAAGGTGCTGACAAGAAGAATTTAGTTAAAAATCCAGAGCGTCAATCTTAACATTGTGATCATTTCCTTTATTCTCATGACACCAATGTTTGATTTAGGGGTGATATTCTAGGGAGAAACTGAATGCAAAGGGTGAAGTCCCATCTCTAACATGTCCACTCATTGGTAACCCCCTTTGTTTAGACATCAAGATTTTTATAATCTGCCTCAACTTCCTCCTTGTAACAAATACTCTAAAGCATTAGTGGTATATTGTTGTCCATCAGGGTCAGATGAAAGTTTAGTGCAGAATTTACTTACAAATATTTATATATTTGAAAGCCGTTGATAGTTTTCATTTTGAATATCATAGGCTCTCAGTCTTGAAATAGATATTGTAAACATTATTCTTTAAATCTGGTCTACAAATCAGAAGCAAAGGGATAGATTGAACGTTAGCCCTCCATAAGTCTGAACTAAGTACCCTGTCTTCCTCCCCATGGAGCCCCACCCCCTTCCCTCTCCGTTCTATTCACTGTCACGCACCCTTGTACAAATTTCTTTCTCTCCTCAGCTTTCTGCTGCTGCAAACATGGCAGCAGCCATAATTTTCGCTAAAAAAATACTGAGGACTTGCCCATCAAAATTATGCCTGCTCTGCAAGCTACAACACCTCCTTTCTGGAAGCCCTGAGAAATAACTAACCTCCATCTGAAGCCAGATTAGCACAGATCACAGATGATGATGTAAAGACCTTTTGCTAAATATTTTGAGGTTTAAGTTACTTCTCATGAGTAGCTTTTTGCTCAATTGCAACTTTTGGACGATTTCCTCCATAGAAGAGCGAATACTGTAGCTAGTTTGGTTCTTTAGGTGTTCAGCTTTTAAGGAAAAACGACAGAAATATCCATCCACACCTCAATCAATTAATTAATTAATTAGCTAATTATTATTTTTACGAAGTACTCTTGACTATGACTTAACAAATACTTTGTCATTTTAAGGCTGGGAACAAGTGAAATGATCCACCTTGAATTTTCTCCAAAATCTTCAAGTTTGCCTATCGAAATATTGACTCTCAACTACACTTTTGTCCGAAGAAGGGAAAGCGATTCCGACGAATCAACCCGGAACTTTAGTGCGCAGCCAGGCGGAGAAGGGAAAGACTGGGGCGGGTACAAAGGTTTTATCGAAGGCCGTTCAAGGTGACCAAAGAAGGGTATTTTAACGCGCTGAAATGACAACTTGAATATTTTTGATACAAAGTCACGATAGGAAAGGAAACTCTGGCAAGTATGATGTCGTTAAGAGCGGGGAGGCATGTTTTGAGTGCCTTTAAACCTGTAAACGTGTCATTACTCCGACGTTTTCTTCACACGTCGAAACCAACTTCAACTTTTGCCAAAGATCTGTTTCTGGGACGTTGTAATAAGGTAAAATATATAGTAGGTGGTTTCATGAAGATCGTTTAATTCCTCGTGTGTTTTTTTGCTGTTGTAGATTGTAAAAGCACGCTATAGATCCAAGAAGAGACCTAAATTTTGTCTCGGAAGAAACTGGTTAGATTGAGAAAAATCCTAAAATTATGTAATCGGCCGGCCCTTACTTTTCACAAATATCAACTGATTCCCACGAGATAGTCCATAGATTTTCATGAATTTGAGAGAGATTCTGTATCAGCCCAGGGAAAAAAACAAGTTCCAAACGATGATTAAAAAAATTGAAACAAAACTCTACTTGTTGATGTTCGTTGATTCGAGTCAGACATATACTCACGCAAGGATTTGACGTCACGAGAAAGTTCTTTCACGGTTGTTTCAAAGTCTTTGAATTGAATTGTTTTTATATGCCTGAGGTAACAAATTTTTATTTGCTTTTTCTCTTTTTTTTATGTTGAAGAAAACACATGTGGAAGACATTTTACGATTGCATTGTTTTGTAAGAGGGAGGGATGGGTGGTAGGTGTGTTCGGGGGTGGAATGGGCTGGAGGAAATGAAGAGGAGGAAACGCATGGATGAATGAGTGAATGAAAGGAGAAATATATCAATTAACCCTTTAACTCCCATGAGTGACCAAGACAGAATTTCTCCTTACAGTATCAATACAATATCAAGCAGATAAGTGATGAGACTAAATAAAAATATCAATTTGGGATAATTACTTGATCCAATACTAACAGTAACTTCTCTGAACCAGCATTATAGGAATTGTATGGTTGACAGTAAGGAGAATTACAAATATGATCTTGGAGTTAAAGGATTAAGGAATAAATGTAAGAAGAAAAAGTGATTGAATGAAAGAAGTCTTAACCCTCTAACTCCCAAGATCTTATTAGTAATTCTCCTTACTGTCTGCTATACAGTTCTTGTGATGTTAGTTTGGAGAATTTAGTATTTGATCAACTTATAATCCCCTTATTGATATTTTTCTTTATTCTCATCACTTGTCTGCTTGATATTGTATTGATATTGTAAGGAGAAATTCTGTCTTGGTCACTCATGGGAATTAAAGGGTTAAGGCATTTGAGCTCATGATTTGTTCTCTTTATAGGAGAAAGTTTTCCCATATCCAGATCCATTGAATGAAGAACAGCGAGAAACACTCAACATGCTTGTTGAACCTGTTGAAAAGTATTTTGTAGAGAAAGGTAATTATAGTGAAAAATAAGGGAATGGCTTGAATCAACTTTGAGTAAAGGTGGTCCAGTATTCAGATGTGTTGGGTCTTCCTTAAACTGATAAATTTGATAAATCACTTATAATTGACAATCGCTTATTTTTTATTTATTTACAGTTGATTCTGCTCATATTGACAAAACAGCTAAAATTCCTGAAGAAGTTATGGGAGGACTGAAAGAACTTGGTTTGTTTGGTCTTCTTATCCCTGAAGAGTATGGTAAGACTTTTTGTCATTATCATCTTAGTTAAATGATGTAGGTGAATACCAGCTGAATTTCAGCTGGTATTCCTCTGTTTGAGAATTTAGGTTGATGTGTTTCTCTCACATGTAGTTAAAAATATTTTCTCTAAAAGTATTTTCAAATCCTTTCAGGTGGCCTTGGTCTTCTGAACACAAACTATGCCCGTGTTTGTGAAGCTTTCTCTGATGCAAGTATTGCTGTGACATTGATGGCACATCAGTCAATTGGTCTGAAGGTCAGTTGCTTTACTTGTCCACCCTTTCATTCTTATAGGAAAGACCAAAGTATAATTTCTCTGTACAGGATCAATACACTATCAAACAGACATGTGATGAGAATTATGAAAAATCTCAACTCAGGGTAATATTTGACCAAATTCTTGCAACTATAGCACTTTGAGATATGTATCTAGGCTGTGAACGAGGAGAAAAACTTCTTGTGCTGACAAGGTGGAAGCTTGACTCTCTCAAAGAGTGTATTTAATTTAACAGGCCGAAATGGATATGAGCAAGCTCAGGTAGAGGAAGCTGAGGATATGGACTAGTAGAGTAAAGACCAAAGAATGATTTTTCTTCACAGGATCAATACACCAGCAAACAAACTTGTGATCAAGAATAATGCAAAAGCCTCAACTCAGGGAAAATGTAGACTAGCTGGTATCATCTAAAAACTTATTGATTTGTTTCTAATATTGATGTGATAGGGAATTCTTCTTCTTGGGACTGAGGAGCAAAAGCAGAAATATTTACCAAGACTAGCATCTGGTGAACACATGGCTGCATTTTGTCTCACAGAACCCTCAAGGTACATGAATAAAGCACTTATTGCTCAGTTTTTTTTCAAACCTTTATTTTAAAGTGTGGTCGGCATCTTTACTCCCTAGGCAGAAAATAATTTAAGTGGCACTTTGGTGCAGGAATGGTGCACTAGTAAATACCTAAATAAAGCTGTAAAATGTGTGTTAGACTTATGATTAGATTTCCAGAGATAACTTTAAAGAAAGTGGACAATCCTGTTCTTTTGTAATAATTTATATATTATTTTTCCAATGTAGTGGAAGTGATGCAGCATCAATCCAGACCAAAGCAACTTTAAGTGAAGATGGCAAACACTTTCTTCTCAATGGTTCAAAGGTTTGTGATTTTTATAAGATCATTTAGAGGTGCCAAATAATTATGCTTTTTTGAATTTGACTTAACTGTGAAAGTGTACTTATAGCAGCTAGCATGTAATTTCTCCTTAATAATATCACCCCTGAATCAGATACTAAGGTCACAAGAATAAAAGAAATGATCATCGACTACAAAAGTTGTTGATTGTTAAACAAATTCTTCCATCCAGCACTTAAGGAAATGTATAGAGAACAGTATAGAGAATATGCATACTGGTGTTGGTGTGTAAAGAGTTAATAAAGTAATATTTATGGCCTGAGATACTGTTGAATTTAAACAAAAAAAGAACAGCTTATCTAGGTTCCGCTGAAAACATGTTCCTTTTTTCTGTGTGCAGTGGCAAAATGCAGCAATATATTTGAATTTTTTTGGGGTTTCTAAAAACACTGTTAACCAACTACCTGATATTTCCTTTGCCTTTGTGGAATTTTTCTGAGAAATATAGGAAAAAACTGTAAATAATGTGGGTGTCTTCTCATCCAATAGTGCATCCAAGAAGCTTTCCATGTCTAGATGCTCTTGAAGTAAACATGACACTGGCCTTTCAAACCTAGTTTTCTTGTCATTGAGTCCAGACTGTTCTGCGCATCAGCCATTTATGAATATGGTGTATGATTCATGTGTATCTTATATGTCATAATATTCTAATTTTTATTTTGCCTGTCCTTCTTAAATTCTAGATTTGGATCTCTAATGGAGGATGGGCTGATGTTATGACTGTCTTTGCTAGGACTACTCATACCAATGACAAGGTATAAATATTTTGTAACATATGATACCTTGCAGCTTTTGTGCAGCATTTTGTCTTTCCCACCTCATCTCTTCTGACCATTAATATTAAGCATGGAAGCTAAGTGAAGAGTGGTGAGTCTTTAAATATCTGCAGCCTCCTTTCCTGAATAAGATGCTGTTTATAAGGGAGATTTTAACCCACAGTCCAGTGCACTAAGCATTTGGCACCACATATGCAGCTTACAAATTTTAATTGTACTAATTTCCTTAAGTATGTGCAATAACTGTCAACATATTTTGTAACATACAGGGTGAACAGCAAGACAAAATAACTGCTTTTATTGTGGAAAGGGCTTTTGGAGGTGTGACAAGTGGAAAACCAGAAGATAAACTTGGAATTAGAGGCTCAAATAGTAAGTAAACAAAAACGTTTAGTAATAGCAATTAATATGGTGAGCAAATTACAGTTAACTCTTTGACTCCCATGAGTGACCAAGACAGAATTTCTCCTTACAATATCAATACAAAATTAAGCAAACAAGTGATGAGAATAAAGAAAAATATTAATTAGGGGATTATCAGTTGATCCAATACAAAATTCTCCAAACTAACATTACAAGAACTATATGGCAGACAGTAAGGAGAATTACTAATGAGATCTTGGGAGTTAAAGAGTTAAAGTACTACCACCTGTTAGAGTACTTTTACAATTAATGTGAATCTTTCAGGCTAGATTTTCTAAAATATGAGTTTTATTCCATTTTTCTTTAGCATGTGAACTTCATTTTGACAACACTCCCATTCCTATTGAAAATGTCCTTGGAACTGTCGGTGGAGGATTTAAGGTAGAGTTATGAATCTTTTGTTTTGTGCATAATTTTAGAAAAACAAGATTGGAGTTATCCTTATTTTCTCATACTATGTGGAGGAAGCAGTGGCAGGAGTGACCTGTGTTAGTACACTGGACTCTACACATGTAGGTTCAGATGTCCAGATTTGAGCACTGGTTAGGTGATTTTTTCGTTTGCCGATTAACCCTTTACACCCTAATGTCAGTATCGATATTCTCTATACTCTACCCTACACCATTCCTTTGGTACTGGCAAGTAGAATTGGTTTAACAATCAAGAGCTTGTTTGGTGAGCCATTATTTCTGTTATTCTCATGATCTTAATGAATGATTCAGCAGTATTACTGTAAGAAGTTAGATGCTCATTACATTTAACTTTCATGGTGCTTTTCTCCTTTTGGGAGCATAAGTAAGTACTGACAGATGGTCAAAGAAGCTTGACAAAAGTTTAGCAAAAACCTTGCCATAGATTGGCATTCCATCTCATAACATGACTGTGGAGATAAATCAATTTGCTGATGATCCTAGTGATAACATAAATTAATCAGCTGATATAAAAGATATTGTTTACGACTTGTTGAAAACTCCTGCTCTTGGCAACATTGCAGTCCTAAGAACTAATTAGATGATACATCTGCTATAAAGTAAATGTAAAAATACATCAATAATATTTATAAACATTGAAATGATATTATAAGATTTTTTGTTTCTGTTAAGGTTGCTATGAATGTCTTGAACAGTGGCAGGTTTGGTATTGGAGCATGCGCTGCTGGTGGACTGAGAGGGCTGATAGGTAATTTTGAACACTAGTGGCAGATTTAGGGGGAGGGTGTGGATACCAACTTCCCTCTCCCCTTTGTGGTTGCTTCCAGCAACAGGATTGCATATCACCACTCAACTCAAAGTATATTAATTTACCTTCTTTGAAAAGATTCTAATTGGAAAAAAAAAAAGTAAAAGTGTGTTTTCTGAATTGAAGTTTGGGTCCCTTTACCCCATCAAAAACTCTTGAAAGAGCCTCCCCACAGTGCAATTTATTTTTGGCTCTCTAATCACAGTGGTTCAGCCTTGTTTTACTTTAATTATGATTTTAGTCCCATTGGCAAGGAGATTGTGCAGACCTTTGGTCTGAAAAATCCATGAAGTAGATTCTCTAATGGCTAACCAGTGACTTTACACCTGCACTCACTTTAGAGGAAACCCACTCCTTCTATTCAAACTAATTTTTAGTATATTAAGTGCTTTCAGAACTTTATTACAATGAAAGCATTGGATCTCAAGTGATTAGTGTTTTGATTTCAGGTGCAGCTGCAGAACATGCCACAACAAGAAAACAATTCAACAGGACTTTATCAGAATTTGGACAGATTCAGGTGTTTATAGAGATTCAATCATTGTAGCTCTTTGAAATCTTACCCCAACCCAAGCTGGATTTCTGAAAATCTGACCACTTATATTTGAGAATTAATTCAATTTTTGCAAAAGCATGTACCGGTAATGAAATAGAGTCTAATTGGGGACCTGCACATTCAGTTTTAGTGCTTTGATCCAGATCAATTGGTCATCCACTTTGATTTTATCTCTTAGGTCATAGAAATGCAAGTGTGTGAAAAAACTCAGTGATTTTTCTCTCTTAGCAATTTCAAAAGGGTGGCGAAAGTTTCCAAGAATACATAATGTAGTATTAGATAATTGAGGTAAAAGGTCTATTAAACCAAGAGATTCCTTCAATATATATGGTTTTGTTAGGTTTTTAGACCTGACCTTGTAGAACTTTCATTAGTATTCCAACCACTTTGAAGTTATTGACTAAGAGAAACTTCCCTTTGAGTTTTTCAGTCACAATTTGTGAACACAAAAATTCAAGACAGCTCAGTCAGGGAGCTCCAACATAACCTGCAAAGGCATTTTTTCATGTTTGATTTTTTCCAGCTTTCCTAACGAGTCAACTCTTCTTACTAACACAGAGTGAAGTAGATAAAAACCAATACAGTCCCAGATTTCTTTTGTTGCATGAGTGAAGGTTGTTATTCATAAATTACTTTAATCAGGAAAAGTTTGCACGTATGGCGTTGAAACAATATACAATTGAATCCATGGCATACCTGACAACTGGGATGTTGGACAGTGGAGAGGAAGATGCGTCTGTGGAGGCTGCCATGTGCAAGGTTTGTTATAAACCCAGATTCAACAGAACCATAGTTTCTTTAGAAACTAACCCCCTTTATTCATCATGTAAGAATTGTTGAGGATAGTCAGAGGCACGAAAGTTATTATTTGACAGTGGCTACCCTCTCATCTGATGATTATTACAAACAGTCAGCTATATTCCTCCTGGGTCTATACCATTTACATGTATATATCCAGGTATCTTTTTCACTCTTTTTTTGTCATCTCACTTTGCAGGTGTACGGTTCAGAGGGTCTCTGGACAGGGGTTAATGAAGCATTGCAGATCTTAGGAGGTACATATCGTATATTATAAAATAATTCAAATAGTACGCGCGCTCTGATTGGCCATAAAACCATTTTACATGAGCGTATGTAAACACGATTTTCGTTCCTCTTTCATTAGTTATTTTATAAAAGAAATGTTACTCGATAAGCTGGAAACCACTCCGCTTCGCGTCGTGGTTTCCTACGCTTATCTCGTGTTCTCCCAACCTCCCGCGTGTTTACATCAGGTTATGTAAACACGGAAACCATTTTACATTTCTTCATTAAGTGATTACGTGCAATTTTACATAGTGTTGATATGATTAATAATGGTAATAGGAATGAGTGGTGTCCAATTTGGTCTGAGAGAGAATGGCTACTCATTCCCATGATGATCTTATTTTTTCCCCGCAGGCCTTGGGTATATGAAAGAATATCCTTATGAAAGAGTCATGAGGGACTCAAGAATCTTGTTGATATTTGAGGTTAGCAATATGTTATGGGTGTATTTTGAATCTCTCTGTAAAGAGGATTTCTTCAGGGAAAGCATTTATTTTCGTTTTTATTGGTGAATGTTTATTTATAAAACCGGACACCCCACACGGAAAATCTTACCTGCCTTTCCATTTTTCTTATGTTTAACAGGGAACAAACGAAATCCTTAGAATGTACATAGCTCTTGCAGGAATGCAGCATGCTGGAAAACACTTGCAAGAAGTATTAAAGTGAGTTGTTACTCAAGGAACGTTGAAGTGACTGTACATTGATCATTGTATTGATATTGTAAGGAGAAATTATCTCTTGGTCGCTCTTGATAGGTAAAGGGTAAAGGAATTTTCCCTTAGTTGTGCTCCTAACTATCATTTTGAATGTTTTACCAGATACCTAAAGAACCCTTTTGGAAACGTTGAATTCATGACGGACTTCTTGAAAAAGAGAGCTCTCTATGCCTTAGGACTAAAAGGAAACCTGCAGGGAATTGCCAATGTTTCACACCCACAATTGGCGGTAAGGCACAAGTATATTTTGTATTCGAGATAAGTGGAAGTGCAGTGACCTAACCAACGACAGACTCTATGTGAGCAGGTCCAGTGTTCTTGAAAACTTGAGCGCGCAGGTAGATTATAGTGGCGAAAGTAATCGGCGTTCACCATTAGACTACGGACCCAGTGGCTCTCGTTTTTGCAGCAGGATGGTAGAAGATATTTTTTAAGGGGGAGGGAGGTTTTGTTTCTTTTTTCAAATGCCTAAAATTACTTGACGCTGCGTTTAGAATGTTATCACTATTTGTAGTTGCTGAATTTTCTCCGTTGGTGATACGTCATATTTTATTCTACTTTTTACAGGACAGCGTCAAAAAATTGGAGGAGAATATCGCTGACTTTGGAAGGATATCTGAAAACTTGCTTTCCAAATTTGGAAAGGTAATTTATATTAGGAAGAAGGTTAATCTCTCTACCCTATCATCACGATTATTGTCAATTTGTACAGAATGATTGCGCGCGCGTAACACTTAAAGTAAACCAATCATAACTCAAATCGGTAAAGCGCGCGAGAAATCAAGCAAGTCAGGTGTAGGTCCGCTTCTGATTGGTTCTTTCGACTAAATTCATCAGTGCTTCCTAAAGCCATATTTTTCCATATTTTGTGACCGCATAATTTTCAAGTAAGATTTCTGCATCCAGCGTACTTCCTTTAAAGATTCGCAGACTTGTTGAACACCAAGTTTCCCTTAATAATTTTTTTTCGGTTAACGGCACCTTGTTTGTTTATTTATTATATTTTTTAGAATATCATCGAGGAGCAATTTTTGCTGAAAAGAATGGCAGATGTAGCCATTAACTTGTATGGTATGACGGCTGTAATTTCCAGGGCAACTAGGTCTATCAACCGGGGCTCACCGAGCGCCAGTCACGAGGTACATAGCAGTTGTGCATTTATGTTGGACGGACAGAATTCTTACCGTCTAACGGACTGACTGACTAACGGACTTACTACGTTTGATCAGGACTGAGTAAATTTCAGACAGTCTGACCTACCAACTGTCGAGTCATTGTCCTGTTACTGAGGGAAGGACCAGAATGACTAAATTATTGCTGAAATGACTGACTCACTGACTAGCTTACTGAGCAGCTGACTGATCAATTGACAGACAGCCAGACGGACTAATTGATTGACTGACTCTTTGTCTGACTGACAGACAGACTCTTTGATTGACTGACAGACAAACCCTTTGACTGACTGAATGACTGACTGACTTACCTACTGTCCGATCAATCGACCACCGACCGACTGACCAAACGCTCGTGTTACTAACTTACTGAATAAATTAAAGGCTGGCTTACTGATTGTGTGTGTGTGACAAACTGAGTGTTCAAATCCCTGTTTCCTCGACTGCATCAGTGTCTGTCCATTAAACTAACTGACTGACTGACTGACTTATATTACCCACTGACCGACTAATCGAGATCCCAGCTGGCTGAAAGACACAACCACCATCTTATTCAACGACTGCCTGTGCCTTGCAATGAAACGTAGTTCCATGTTTAACTTCATGCCTTGTGTGTATTCCTCCGGCAGGCACTTCTCGTAGATACAATATGCAAAGAAAAATATCATGCCAACAACACTCTCCTCAAAGAAGTCAAATCAGGTGAGAGAGAGAATCAATATCTAAACTTTGGAAAACACATGACACTAATTTATATGTAGCGGATAAATTAGCGTAATCTTCATAAATTTTCTTGACAGAAATTACGGATAAATGTCATTATTACATGCCAGGGTTAATGTTGGGTTAGGGGAGGGGTAGGTGTGTAGTTGTTCAGATACTGACATTGATCCTAAATTACCATCGATCGAAGGAAGCCTCAATTGACAATTCTCCTCGGTAACCGTCCTTGAAGCGCGCCCTATCTCAGTAATTCTCAGATGAAAGCAAAACAGCAAAGAAGGGAGAAGATAGTTGACCAAATGTAGCGAAGATGGTCGAAAAAGGAGATCATTCACACGGACTGAAAGCCAGGAAACTGAAAAAATTTAAGAGCACTTTTATGATACACCTAAAAAACCTAACGTGATATAGCAACTCAACTGATTGCCAAAAAGTGTCATTCTCCCTGCGCAAAGAATTCTTAAATTCGAGCCTTTTTTTGGTCACGGGACATTTATTTCTTTGTTTCTCGATGGAGAATGAAAGAGTCGTTGATCACGCGAGAATCAAAGTTATCCTAGGTTCCCGAACAAGATTCGAAAACAACCAACGATAGTGCAACGTCGCCGTTGCAAATATTCGCAGAGATTTTCGGAAATCCTGAGGACTTTCCAACGATTGCCGACAATCACCCGAAGTATTGATCGCATTTATATATCAAGATTTATTTGAACTCTCTTCCCTTTTAATCTTGCAGGCACGAAGAGTAATGGAGACGAACAACTTAAGAAGATTGCGGAGGAAATTTTCAAAAGTGGTGGTACTGTGACACCACATGCTCTAACTGTCTGAAGACCCTATAATTTATCCGAGATGTAAATAATTATGTAAATAAATTAAATGAAAGTTTTAAACCGGAACGAAGATAAACTCGAAGACAAACGAAAGAGACCCATTGCAGGCCTATGAAAATAAATTCGAACTCGAGGGCACAGTAATAAGAAATGATCATCATTTCACTAAGGTATAAATTTCTTTTCGTTAGCCCTGCTGCCGAGCTAATATTTTTCAGGTATGATGGGGAACTCTTTGTCAATGAATTGAATGTTATTTCTGCTCCCTTAAAATACTTTTTTACATCATAATCCTTAAACTCCCAAGATCTGCTTGTTAATTCTCCTCTCTAGCTGCTACACATTTCCTTGTGAATGAGTTTCGAGAATTTGGAGGTAGATCAATATTACAACTTGTACCTGATAAGTTTGAGTTTTCTCATTACCTGTTTACAGGATAATGTATGGATACTGTGCGGAGAAGTTGCATGTTGATCAATTCTGGGAGACAAAGGGTTAAGGTGTCACAGGCAAGAAATTAACGTTATGTTAAATTTCACAGCAATCGACCACGTTTTAAATTGTTTTAATTCTGCTGAGCTCTATTTTTACTTTCAGAACTTATTTTTTTTTTGTTACCAACTCTTACTATTCTTAACAACTTTACTGCATGTTATGTTCATGCAAGATAACATGAGCAATCGAAATAAAGTTGCAGACTTCTTACAGCTACCTGAATATCTTTATTATTTTGACATTAATTAATGGATTGGTGTAGATATGTATATTTGGAGAAATATTTGTCCCTCATGAGAAACCATCTTTTACCTTCTTTTCCAAATAACTGAAAAATTATATCACCACCCTTCGGGAATGAGTGCACGCTCCCTTCCTATTGTCTGCTTTCGGGGAGGACTGGACTCGAGAGAGCGGTTTGCTAACTTTTTACCCCTTAAGATCAGTACGCTTATTCTCCTTATCGTTCTCAATACATTCCCTATGATACTGAGAAGAAGAATTTGTTGAAAAATCAGAAGCTTCCTTAGTAAGTGATCATTTCCTCTATTTTCATGACTATCATCTTTGATTCAGGGATAATACTGTAAGGAGAACTTAATTAGGTGCCAGTCACTCCAGGGGGTTAAAAGATAAACCCTTCCAAATGCACCTCCTATCTGTCTCCTAAGCATCTTTTCATGTTCTTCCTCTCACGGTACGGTATCATTTATTGAGTGATTGTTCATTCAGAAACCTCCCACTTTTCCCCACACCACAACTTAAGTAAATATATTTTTAACCACTATAATTTCTAACCCAGCCGTTCAGTTAGTAAAAAAAGACCGAATTAGTAAACGGCGCGATGGAAGCGGCAGAGTGAAAAATCGAGGGAGACTGAAGTCGGGTCTTAAGAGCCACGCCTCTTTCTCTAGCGCGACCCGACACCAGCCCCCCTCCTTAACCCTGCTTTCCGGGGATCGGTTTTTCCTCTTCTCCAAGCCTCCATTCAAATCAAATTCCATTAAGATATAAAATTTGTTTGTTAGTGATAAAAAAGGTAATCAGAAATAAAAAACGAATCGTCTCTTAGTCAAAGGTACTTCAGGACCCCTCCTAAGCCCCCTGGTATAAATCTCTAATTCATTTACGTTTTACGGTTCTTTGTGGTCTGAACTGTTTCACTTGTAAAATTATTTCACGCGCGAGAGGAAAACCTATTACCCTCGCGTGTGCCTCACCTTTCGCGTTCGTTTCGCGCTTATTTTCGCCTGCCTGAAAAATGCAACAAAAATTTCGCCTGCTCTAGAAGTAAGCTGGATCTGATATCACTGCACAGGGATCAAATCAAAATTGCAGTGCACTCTCTCTCACGATATTCGAGACCTTGAATTACCATTTTGTTCAAGCTATTTTCATTATTCGCTTCTGAGAGTACTAATTAAAATCTAAATGCGCTTTACAGCCGGAAACGCCGTCAGGAAGTATTAAATGTGTTTCTTCCTCTCTGCTCTGTATAGTGGCAGCATCCTGTATTCACTAGCTTTACATTTTCCTACAAGAATATCAGCGCATATTTTTTTTGCGTTCTTTTTACGTTCCCTGCTTAAAAAAATACAAGGTTCATTTGGTGCATTTTGCGTTCCTTGAATCTTGCCTTTCTGCATCATAAGAGAAAAACGATGATTTAGTTTTACTATATTTTCCCTCCAAGGTCTCTCTTTGGTTTTGTTCATTTATTAATGCAATATCTAAATAAAGCTGGTTAAAGAATGATTTCAATAATGCAAATATTGTTTATTCTTGTTTTCTTAGTTCACAGGGGAATTCATCGCACACAATGCCCTTTTCTGTTCCTGATTCTTGATTAGTCAGCTAAGCGTGCATGCAAAACTCTGCGCCAAATCTCTGACGTATTAACCGCTCATTGGCTGGATTTTTTAATCCATATTCATCCCAAATCGAAGATTTTTTTGGCAGACCACGCTTTTCTTCGAGGAGTGAAGATGCGTCTTGTCTCATAACGTAGAAAAATTAAAGATGCACTTTGGAGGGAGAAGACAATTGACCTGCAAAGAGAAGCATCGGAGAGCAGTGTTATGTTACTACTGCACAAGGTGAGCATTCGTTTGGAGGATATTGCCTTCAACTCCTTCAGAAAGTAGAGCAAGTCCCAGCATTTTGCTAAAACGAGTGAACACGTGTCAGTTGTTTGATCCGAGCTGCTCTTCATCGACACGAAGTTAGACTTGGTAAAGGTGTCAGTCTCCGTAGAAGCAAATTCATTGATTGGAGAAAACGTTTTGCTTAAATTCATAGTTACCTTGCGACCGAACGCTGATTTATAAATGCTTTATTTGAAGGGAATGAAATTCTGTAGTTTCGCGACACGTGGATTTGTCAAGTCTGTCTTCAAATCCCTTCCTCAAGGAATTGTACGGAACTGTACAAAGAAAAATGAGCATAATACCTATTACTTAACTCTCCAGATCGTATGTTGTGTTCAACAGTTCCTGATCATATCGCTTCATTCCTATTTACAGGAAGAGAAGTGTTGTGAGGAGTATAGAAGAATAAAGAATCTGGTCAAGAGGGGACACTGCCAAGATAAGAACTTTATTATTGTAGAACAGTAGCAAAAATGGTGGCCTTCTAGAAATCTTCAGTACTGTTGCGAGATATTTCTCTTTCGCCGAATGTCTTTTGAGTTATCTTAGATGAGAAAATGCCTGCAATAGAACCAGTTACTTGGTTAGTAAATAGTTTTCGACTGGCCACCATTTTTGGAGTAGTTTTGTTATGATATGTATTGTTAAGCAGATCTTGAGCGATCGGTGATTCATTTTTGAACGCTAAGCCCTAATTTGAGCATATGTATCAGGAAAAAAAGTAGCGATTTGACATCGATACAAACTTGGCTACAAGACAGTGACCATGAAATTGGTGATTTCGTTAAACTGATCGCTCAATTTTGTTCACTTAACAGTTAGTATCACCGCTATATCTCAATTGATGTTGCAAAAAGGTGATATTGGTTAAGGTAGCACTGTAAACAAAAGGCTTCAGACTAAGACAAATGAATTTTAAAAAAATTCACATCTTGAGATTGACGGAATTAATCACAACATTAAACAATGATATAAAAATCACTTTGCTGATCACCATTGAGTTGCAAACAAGTCTATCGACTGGAACTCCGTTCAACTGAGAGCTCAACGCAATAACTGATTTCAGCGACTAAGTTTGGAAAGCTGATGGGTTTACTTGGAACACTCCTCAACATGACAACATCAGCCATTCCTGTACAAACTCGACTTCATCACAATACATAACCAAACGACGAGGTAGAACAAGCTAACGTTACCGACAGATGGAAACTATTCAGTTGGACGACTGAAAGATATCACTTGAGTCTAATGGCAAAAAGGATCTCAGAAATACTTATCAATTTTACGACTCAAACTTTTATAATCGACTGATAAACTTAATCATTCACTTGACTTTGACAATATCTGAACAATATCACTTGAGTCTAACAGCCAAAAAGATCACAGACAAACTGGCCAATCCTATGACTCAAACTTTGATAATGGACTGAGAAACTTAATCATTCACCTGACTTTCACGATGACTTCTGCTTAAGATGCCAATTAAACATCAGTCGTTGACACTGACAATAATCCCTTTTACTTAAGACTAATGTTACCCTGACGATCTTACAACACGATGGGTTACAAGTGCCTCAGAGAGGCAACGGAAACGTCGGAAAATATTTTGAAAAAAGAAATCGATTTCATTAATTACAAAAGTTTCATTCTCGATATGAATTAAAAGAAAATTCCACAATTTTTGCTCACCGATAAAATGTTTGTTTGTCATAATTGAGAGTAAAAACTGTTCAGTGCCACCTTAATTCTTAAGCACTCACCTTTGTCCCATCAAATGAGTATAGATTTAGCTCGGTAGCTCTTTGTGTTAAACTCTAATGCCTGGCCAAGAGATCTTTCAAGTAACGTTCGCTTTGAAATGTATCGTAATGCAAACCAGCTGCGAACAAATAAAGATTTTCATGTTTCGAAGATTTTTTTATTTAAATTAACATGGATATCTGGAACGCTGCGCAAATGATTGAAAAATTCATAACAAAATCGACAAAAAACGGGTTCTTCTGGTGACGAACAATGAAAAAGGCCATTGTAGAAATGAACCTAGGTAAGAGCACCATTGTCTCAGTTCTCCTTCAAAAAATTTACGAAATATTCTGATGGGTCTTGAGAAAACTTTGGCTTTTTCTGAGGGGTTTTTTTACCCACAAGCACAAATTTTTCATGAAGAAATATAGATTTTCATCTTAGTAATGCCTCCTCGTAAGAGTGTCTGACTTGACCTTTACGACGCAAATCGTGAGATAAAAAAATAATTACAAATTGGACGAACAACAATTGAAAGAGGCAAGCCAATTTGGTGAGAAACAATGAAACAAAACTATTATCAAATGTTCGTTGTGAAAAAGCGTAATTGTCTTTTGTCAAAAGAATTTCCAAACGAGAGTAAGATCTAGTGAGAATTTGGCCTGTTGTAACCTTTTTAAACTCGACTATAAACATAATTAATGTTGCAGACGTAGTAACTTGTACATTCACTGGCGCTTTAATTTGTTCCCGAATTATTCTAGCTAATTAAGGAACGAAACCCTTTGACATAATGCTAGGGCAAAATTCTAACGTTGCCTTTGAATAATTGTGCGACGGTAAATTTCAGGAGAATTCCCCTTGACATCGACGAATAAGAAAATTTTCGAAATCATGTCGAGCAATTAAGTATTGGCTCAAAGTGGACTTAAAATTTTGGCAAAGAAGACTTGTTAATTTGGCAAGAAAACAAGAAAAGCAAATGGGTTATTCATCAAATAGGTTACTTTTGTGTCGCTTTGTTAAAAACGTTTGTATATTTATAACGGAAAACAAAGAAATTGGAATTTCAAGCCAGAGAGTTCGTTCATCTTATCACAACACCTGAGATGCATAGTAATTATATCGAAAGTCTGTTGAGTCAATTGAGTTGTATTGTGAATTTAAATTCATATAGCAATTCTTGTTTTTTTGCTGGTTTATCTACCGTTTCATTCAATCGACAAATTAGGTTGCACTCGTGAAGAGCAAATACATTTTGATCTTTGGAACAGGTATTAGATTTTAAAATGATATTGTAGCTAC